TTTTCCAAAACTATTTCCACCCTCAGCAGATTTCAAATACCACTCGAAAGCTTTTTTGAAATCTTGCTGCACTCCAACTGCACCAGAGCAAAACCCAATTGCCGACAATTTTTTCCCGATCCGATAATCCATTATCATCCATGTAAGACCGGCAATTGACGCTGATAAATTTGTTACTATAATAGCGTTTACAGCTCTTGGTGACGCACCCAAAGATGACCCTCCATTAAATCCAAACCATCCAAACCACAATAGTATTGTTCCTAATACAGTATGTGTTACATTATGTTGACGGAATTCTTCTTGATCTTCTTGATGTCGTTTCCCTAAAGCCAAGCAATATGCCAAAGCAGCTGCACCAGAAGAAATATGAACCGGAGTTCCACCAGCAAAATCAAGACTTCTGGTTGACCAACCATCAGACGACCAAACCCAATGAGCTATTGGATCATAGACGAGTGTCGTCCATATAAATATAAAAATAATTGTGGGAAATATTCGACCGCGCTCTGCAGCTGAACCGATTGCTAACGCGGGAGTAATGGATGCAAACATTGATTGGAAAATAGCATAAGTCATGTCTGGTACTGGTCTTCCACTGGTGCTATTTCTATTTTCTACTCCCAAGAAGAAAGCATTTTTCAATGATCCAATGTATGAGTTCCCGTCTTGACCAAAGGATAAGCTAAATCCGAAAATAAACCACTATAATTAAAAAGAAAAATTTTTAGTAAATTCGTCCTAAATTCTGTTCAAACTTTCATAAAATCTTGTTATTACTACCTGTGTAGAAACAACAGCAACTGACAACATACACAACATAAGCAATGACAGTGCATTTTTTCTTCTTGCCATACCACTATAAAAATATCCGATTCCCGGAATCATAAGCCAAACAAGCGCCGTTGAAATGACGACAAACCCAATATCGGCGGAATGAAATATATTCGGGATTTCAGACATTTTCCATACAATAAAAAATTTTTAAACTTTAAAAACTATTTTATAAAGTACCGACACATCCAATTGCTATGTTGAATTATTGAATATACTAGCTTTAGCATTTTTCGATGCTTTGTATGTGCACAACAGGTATCATTCTGGTTTACGGGAGTCATTAACAGCTACTTTTAAGTACCGTTACATGTATAAGCTCAAATTAATCCTTAACGTGAACATTAATCGGATATAACAGCCCATTTTATTATTCAAGGGTTCGCCGGCAACTGTTTCCCCTTATTTTAATTTATCGTTATACATGTACATGTGGAACGATTCATTTGCAAAGGGTACTTTGCCAAATCGTTCGATGTTAATTGCCATTTATGGTTTCTTATTAACGATAATCATTTTATTTATGCATGTACATGTACACATGCGTATACGCATGACATGACAATCTGTTATACACATGTTCATTTTAGTACATGTACAGTACATGTACAGTACATGTATATGTAAAGAATTCTAGTCGCAGAATAACAGTTACTGATATACTTAAAAGAATAATTTCACTTGAAACTCTTCTGTTACTTTAATTCTTAGTATCGGAAAAAACATTTGCACTTATGGTTATTTTGCTTTATTCATATGTTAATAATTTCCATATTATCCAATTAGAACCGCCATAACAATAAAGTTTCACTGCATAATCATGCGTAATTAAATTTCTATTATTAGATTCTATTTGTTTGTTACTCTATATTTAAATATACATTATCGTTATATAAAAACAATGTTCAACCAGATTAATGTTACACGTGTTAGCCTTAGCGGGAAAAGGTGGGTGCGCGCGCGAGATTTAATATCGTCTTTCAATTCTTTCCATTGGTATATCATTTTCATGAAACATGGATGAATCGCGGATTACTCGTAATTCGCCGGTTCTTGGATTAGTCGCTACTAGTCTGGTAGTATGGTAAAATGCAACTTCACCCATTTCTGTTTCATCAAGACCCTTTTTCTCGGATTCGGGATCAATACGAAGTGCAAGACCGGGAATTTTATTTAAAATAAATAGTATAAAATAGGTGACACTAAAAGAATATACAAGACCCGCAACTGAACCTGCCATTTGATAACCTAATTGGGCCCAATGTCCATCTAACCAGCCTCCGTTAAAACCCGTTGAACCATCATATTGTGAAATTGATTTCTGTCCGAAGATTCCCGTGAGCGCATTTCCAAGCAGGCCCCCGACACCATGCACAGCGAAAACATCTAGAGCATCATCAATCGCAAGAAAATGTTTTAATTTGACCGACATATTGCATATAACGCCGCCTAGAAATCCAAAAAGTACAGCTGACGCAGGACTAACATAACCTGCAGCAGGTGTAATTGTGACTAAACCAGAGATTACACCTGAGCAGAAGCTGAGCATAGATAATTTACGTTCCAGACGATAATCCAATAACATCCAACTCAATCCTCCAGTCGCTGCCGCAAGATTCGTCACGGATAATGCATTGGCTGCTCGTAGATTTGCCGACAAAGCCGAACCACCATTGAAACCAAACCATCCGAACCAAAGGAACACTGTACCAAGTGCAATACTAGAGATATTGTGTGGCCTGAATTCTTCCATGCCATGACCATTTCGTTTTCCAAGGACCATTGAATACGCTAATGCAGCTGCACCAGATGCAATATGTACCGGCGTGCCACCTGCAAAATCAACACTCCCGATTTTGTTTGCCCATCCATTAGTGGCCCACGTCCAATGAGCGATAACATCGTACACGAGTGTTGTCCAAATAAAGATAAATATTAGCGTTGGTAACAAACGATTACGTTCTGCTGCAGCCCCAATTGCTAGAGCAGGTGTCAAAGCAGCAAACATGCATTGAAAGTTTGCGAAAACTAAGTCTGGAACTGGGTTTCCTTGTAATCTGCCACCCAGCACACCACGATAGAACATATTGTCAAGATTTCCAATAAAATTTCCTCCAGTAATGCTGTATGTTAAACTATAACCCCAAAACCACCACTATAGTCAAAAATATTAATAAATTAATATGCATGTGCGTTTATTTAAAGTGACATGCAATCTTCATTCACCTCACCTGAAAATTTACAACAGCCGTTGATAGAATACACAATAAAATCAGCGATAAAGCATTTTTACTACGTGCCATTCCACTATAAAAATATCCGATGCCTGGCACCATAAGAAAAACTTGAGCCGTTGCCAATAGTACAAATCCAATATCAGCTGTTTCAAATTTCTCGTTTGGATCCATGATATTATTTTAATTAAAGTATAAGCAGCAGTAAAGAAGATCGAGAAAAGAAAAAAATTGTACTAATACAAGGTCTAATGTTTATACTTTATAAGATAACCCATAAGATTGGAATTGCTTGCAAAATCAAAACTTATTCAGAAAATAAAAGAATAAAAAAGAACGAGAACGGCAAACTAAAAATCAAATGGGTTTAGGGAAAAGTATCTTGACATCATTCTTGCCAACCTGTCTTCTTTAATATAAAAAATTTGGATTGTTTGGTTTCTGTCATACAACTATATCAATAAGATTATCTTTAAAAAATTCAATTGGCTCAAGATACATTTCTTTCATTTCTTTCTATGAGAAACATTGCTACATTAGGGATTTTCTGCTCGAGCGAATAATATCAAATTATCAGCTTTATCTTATCTTTATTGCATGTATATGTATTTGTATTACTAAAATATCCATTATTTCGAAATAATCTACAAAGATTTTCTTACCGTGTATCGGTGTTTTGTTTTAATTGGTAGAAAAAAAATTACAGTTACGGTTACTCAGACTGCAATACTCCTACATGTACAGTATTACCTGCAGCTCAATTTTACATCATCTATAGATTGATTAAAAAAAATCTATTGTATGTGAAATTTCATTTTTTGAATAGATCGAACAAACCGCTCGTGTTGATTTTGGCTAATTTTATGTTTCGATGCAAACAATTTATTTGTATATATATAAAAAATTAAATAGCGTTGTCTTTATGAATGGCGTGCTTAATTATGTCAAATAAAAGTTTTGTAATAAAATCCCTATTTAGGAAAACTAGCTCATATATAAGAAAGTCCGATTTATCCTCGATGATCTTAAGTGTTTTCAGAAAAGAGTTCAGGAATAAATGTGTAGACAAATCATTCATGGAGATTGTTTATCGAAACATTAACTTCAGAACAGGATAAATATGAAATAAAGCTACTTTATTTTACATGGCTGGAATCTAATGATCTTAGATTCGTTAAAACTTTAATATTCAAACACAAATTTTTTTAATTATACATGTAGTCAATTGCATGTACACAGTGACTATCGCTATGGTCTGTCGATAAACCGGATTTGACATGTAGTATACCGGTTCTAAATAACGATAAGATTCGTATGCTCAAATACACATACAAATGATCTACGAATACAATTTGATCTGGGGTGCGCTGTTTTTTTCTTTAAGAACGACAACATCAGAGTGCAACTAAAAATTTTTCTCTTAATCTACCAAAAGAAATAAAGAAGAAAATGATAGAAACAAAAGTTGCGCCAGAATATTAATCTTTGGAAAATAATTCTATGTTGAACATACTGAAGAATCCGAACCCAATTTTCATTACTTTGGAAAGGTATTATGACAACTAGTTACATCACAAATTGAGTTGATTAAGAAAAAAAGAAGAGATAATTGTAACAAACTAAATTCGGTTTCAATTTCAAACACCACCTTTAAAAATGCTAAGAAGCTATGGAAATTGGATTGATGATAGATAGTTTAACAGCCATTGAATACATTCTTATGCAAAGAAACAACTTTTGACCACTTCCTGAAAAGAAAAAGACGAATGTGTCAATAATACAACAGGTAATAAAAAATTTCCAATATGAAATACATTATCAAGTACTAATAAAAAATTTGCCAGTTGGTAAACATTTTAACGCTAACAGTCTGTTGTCGTGTATCGTGTTGCGCCCCACTCGAAGCACTTTGGGTGCTGTATATTTCATGCATGTATATGTTTCATTTCATTGATGAGAAATTCCATAATTTTGTTAGAGTTATCTTATGTCTTCCAATTCTACATACATGTGCAGTCACCGCAAAAAGTAACGCCTGAATTTTTTTAAAATGAAATTTCAAATGTACACAAAGCCACTCTTGATATAACGAAGTAATCGGGTCCATATGTAAAAATTTCAAAAACTTCATTATACATTATATCGAGCGGAATTATTATATGGTTTATAATAAATTATTCCCGAACTCAAGTTCATTATATCGCGACTTCGTTATATCGAAGGGTCGTTATATCAAGAGTATCTTTGTATTCACATTTCTGTCTTATGTATATGAAAATCTTTTTTACCACTAACACATCATTGGCTCTTCATATCACATATACTTTGATTTCTCAAGGTATTGAGCCTACAACCTCCTCAAAGACCAACCTATCAAATTTTGATTATGCTTTCTTCAGAATAATCTTAACTTTTTCACAATTCTTGGGAAGTTTTTACACTTTTGAATATTGTCCCCTAATGACTTGCAGACATTTCTATGAAGTCAGGATCGGAAGAACACGCTGATCTTTGTTTTTTCTCTATCGCTATTTCGTGAATTTTTTCCCAATGTAGATCAGGGGAAACATCAAATCAATAATTATATTATGAAAGGGACGAATTACTTAGAAATATTCAGGTAAGCTTTCGCACAGATTTTTTTAGTTCCAATATTGTGAAATGGCTCATTGTCTTTTTGTAATTGCGTACTTTTTTCTTGATTGTTAAGAGCTTATGGTCTTCCAGATCGTGGTAAATTTTCGTTTTTCCTGTTTCTTTGTATTTGGCAAGAGACCATTATCAAGTAATTCACTTTTCTCTTGCAGTTGTTTGGTACTCATAACTTCAATAAAAAATTACTATGTTACCCTTGTCAATGCCGGTCAATTTAGTACGATAGGTAACAAGTTTACACCTGACAGAATTTCGCCTAGTACATGTATGTAGAAAAATAATCTCGCGCAAATCGGACGCTGTGGTATGATGAGATTCGAAATGGGAAAAGAGCACAATTTTAGCTCGATAATCTACTAATAAAAAACTACAGATTCAAAAGAAATTAAGAACTGTGACGTTTTATTTTTAAATAATTCAGAAGGGTGAACGCAAAATCCAAAAAATCTCTCAATAAATTAATAAAAACCAGTCCCTATAAATATGATACATGTTATTATACATTCATTTATTTTAATTGTTGCATTATCATGTCCAAGTATCAAAAAGTTACTGTATAAAATTATTAAACCCAATGGCCCACTAATACGATAATGGACTAAATCTAGTATGGTCCAATTGACAGCACTGTCGCCAGTATTTGTCATTTTCTTAATTCGCATTCGCTAGCGTTGTCGTAATTTTTTATCCTTATGATAATATATATTCATTTATCTTATTCTTTATGTATTCGCGCGCGCATTTTGATTTAAATGCTTATTCGAAAATTGTCGTTCTTATGATTTAATTGTTTTTTCGAAAAATGTTTTTGTTGGCAAATTGGAATTTTTTATTCTTTACGATTCCGTGCCTTAATATAAAATAAAGAGAAATCAATAATATTGTTATTTTTCTATTAAAAGAATAAACTAACAGTAAAAAGATTAGACTTACACATACTAATTCGAGAAATGTCAATTGCATCGTCCCTTTCCATATCTATATTGTGATAATTGTTTTATGAGATAAAAAAACAAATGAAAGAAATCTTGCAATTCAAAAAAATTACCGCTAATGCCATAAGAAGATCGTTGACTATCTGAAGTGACTTCTTCGGAATTGAATGAGTGACTTTTTGTCTCTTGTGAACTTTCTGGAATCACTTCTTCGTCATCAAATTTTTGAAGCCAGTTTTTTGTTTCTTCATCTTCTTCAGTAGAATCATCCGCTAATTCAGAAAGAATCTCCCTAAGTTCAAATGAATTAGGTCGTTTCTCTGGATCTGGATCCCAACATCTCTTAATTAAACCTTCAATTTTTTTTGGAATCCCAAGTGGAACTACTGGTCGTTTATTGTCACATATATCAAACGGTACACGTTCAGAACGAATCCCTTTGAATGGAGTTTCACACGTAAACATTTCCCACATTATCATTCCAAATGCATAAACGTCAGCCTTTTGTGAATATATTCTGCTTTGAAGTACTTCGGGTGCTACATAACGTAAAACACCATAGATGTCTTTAATTTCTGCATCATTAGAAGATCTAATTTGACCTAAATCACAAATATGGGCATTTTTTTTTGTGAATACAATATTTCCGCTATGAAGATCTCCGTGAATTAAGTTATTCTCATGAATATCGAAAAGTGCCGAAGCTACATCCAATAATCTCTCTATCTTGAACTTTTTTTCTTCATGGGTAAGATTTCTTGGATCTTTCTTCGATGGTTTAAGGAATGTCTTCAAATCTCCCAATTCTGCATATTGTAAAACAAGAACGATCTCTTTACTTTGGGGTTCTTGCGAAATGGCGTAAAGGAAGATAACCATAGAATTTTTGCATAGCAAATGCGCCTTAATCTTTTAGATATATTATGTAAGTTAGTATTTTTGTATTATTTCTGTATAAATAGATGTATAATTAAAATTTGTTACTTCTTCTATTGTCAAATCATCATTGTTCCTGTTTTTTATCTGTTTCAATACAACCATCTGATTCGGCTTTCGTTCAAATCTGCGCTTTTCTCGATCCCACATTTTTATAGGCCCTTCTCTCCATCTCGCTTTGGATACATAAGAAAAGTGACTAGACTTTATACGCTCTATCGATACAAAATTTTCATATGGAGTCCATAAGGTTAAATTAATTGGACTTTCTGTTGATAACTGTTCTTTTCGTAATAAGTTGTCTAATAGTGGTATGCCACTAGTCCAATTAGAAACATCACATTTTGTACAAAATTTAATGTGAGCATTGTAACAGTATTTTTTACACCTTTTACATAAATGTGAAGACATGTTAAAAGAGAAGAGCATTCATCCTAATTACGTGTACATGTACAATGCAGATGTAAAATGCATTCGGTATGCCAATTCCGATGCATTACACAAGGAAATGCACATAAAGCAATTAAGTGACACATGAAGATAACAACTGATCTTTGTATATTGTATATTATTTACAATGAGAAAACCCTGTTTTCTCAGCCAAGTCATTTTTCAGCGTCTTGAAGAATTGGACATATTAGATTTAAAAAGTGAAGATGCTACGTTAAAGCAAACAGAAGATTTTTTCATTGCAAATATTGAAGAAGAGAAACCACCAACAGCTTTGATAATTTTCCATTACTATGTATTAAAAAAAATCAAGCAACTCGGTTTCAAAATTGATAGTTCTGATTTATCAAAATCTGTCGCTGAAAAATGGAAATCATTATCTCAAGAACAAAAAGAAATATTTGAGAATATCAAGCAAAACCTCCAGCAATGTCATGTATCAATTGGGCGAAGACGATTACGCGAGAACAATATACCAATAATAGACAAATATGAACTTGCGAGCATAGGTGTATCTCACTACTGGCCCAGCGTCAGCTTTCACGATAGCCATAGAGACATCATTATGGCGACAAATACTAATCCTCCTACTTATCGTCGTCGTATTACTTTAAGAGCGTATGGTTCGAAGGTTGAAAACAATTTGGGGCAATGTTATCGAAATAGCATTGGCGTACAGCAAGATAGCGAAAAAGCTTTCGAGTGGTATGGAGTGCAGAAAGATGACGAAAAGGCAGCAGAGTATGGATATGTTAACTCCAGCAGCGGGTACAACACTTCCACTATTCTTCCTACTTTTTATCTTTCTTCTCTTACTCTTTGTCTGGATAGTGCTTCTCCTGTTTATTCTAAAATATCAGAAGAGGTGAAACCGGTAAAAGGTTGTGGTCCTCTTGATTTTCGTAGGCTGGAAGAGGTGAAAACGCTTAAGAAGCGAGAATGTAATGCTTCTCTTATTAATTTTCGAAAGTCACTTTGTGCTGCTCTAGCTAAAATGCATAAAAACAATTGGGAGCAATGTTTTGAGCGGTATGGAGTGCAGAAAGATGACGAAAAATCAGCAGAGGGTGGGTGCGTTAAATCCAGCAGCGAGAACGACGTTTGTTTTACTCCGCATTTTATTAATGTAGAGAGATTATGGGGCTTTGCTTCGCATATTCATAAGAATCACTTAATTCGCGGCAATCTTCATAGCGGAAATATTGTGTTCATTTGTGATTTAGGTTTAGGTCAAATTAGATCTTCTAATGATAGAGATATTAAAGGCATCTGTGGCGTTTTGCCCTATATAGCACCTGAAGTATCTAGAAGCCGAATATATTCACAAAAGGCTGACGTTTATCCATTCGGAATCATGTCACAAGAGACTGACATTTATCCATTCGGAATGATGTCGCTAGAAATTTTTACGTGTGAAACGCCATTCAAAGGGGTTTGTTATGAAAGTCCTCAGTTTGACTGGTATTTGAAATCAGCCGAGAATGGAAATAGCTTGGGGCAAAATAATCTCGGTTTTTGTTACCAAAAGGTTATTGGAACGCAGAAAGATGAAAAAAATGCTTTCAAGTGGTACTTGAAATCCGCTGAGAATGGAAATAGCTTGGGACAAAATAATCTCGGTTTTTGTTACCAAAATGGCATTGGAGTGCAGCAAGATTTCAAAAAAGCTTTCGAGTGGTATTTGAAATCTGCTGAGGGTGGAAATAGTTTTGGAAAAAATAACCTCGGTTTTTGTTATCAAAATGGCATTGGAACACAAAATGATGAAAAAAATGCTTTCAAGTGGTACTTGAAATCCGCTGAGAATGGAAATAGCTTGGGACAAAATAATCTCGGTTTTTGTTACCAAAATGGCATTGGAGTGCAGCAAGATTTCAAAAAAGCTTTCGAGTGGTATTTGAAATCTGCTGAGGGTGGAAATAGTTTTGGAAAAAATAACCTCGGTTTTTGTTATCAAAATGGCATTGGAACGCAGAAAGATGAAAAAAATGCTTTCAAATGGTATTTGAAATCTGCTGAGGGTGGAAATAGTTTGGGGCAAAGCAATCTCTGTTTGTGTTACCAAAATGGCGTTGGCGTGCAGCAAGATTTCAAAAAAGCTTTCGAGTGGTATTTTAAATCTGCTGAGGATAGAAATAACTTAAACCAACATAAGATTTTTACCCTATATCTATCTTTTTCTTTTTCTGATTTTTAATATGCCTATTTTTTTCTGATCTCCTTTAAATAGGGAAAAAAGATTGGAAGTTTCTGATCTTTTAGGTTGGAAGCACATCGTAATCGATGTAATGCAAAACTTATCTTTTTATAACTTATCTATGATTTACTTTATACTTAAGAACTCGGACTAATGATTAGTTTGAGATTGCTCCGTTTTTTTTCCTTTATCTTTTATACTAACAATTTTAACAACTTTTAGTATCTTAACAATTCTTAACTTTAGCAATTTTAGTATTTCGATTTTTTATTTTCAGCATTTCGTTAGTAACACATATTTGACAATTTTTATTTGTCTCAAACACCAGAACTCTTCGCACTTTTTTCAACGATAGTTTCCTTAATTGACAATTTTTATTTGTCTCAAACACCAGAACTTCGCACTTTTTTCAACGATAGTTTTCCTAATTGACAATTTTTATTTGTCTCAAATACCTCTTCGCACTTTTTTCAACGATAGTTTTCTTAATTGACAATTTTTATTTGTCTCAAACACCAGAACTCTTCGCACTTTTTTCAACGATGTTTTTCCTAATTGACAATTTTTATTTGTCTCAAATACCTCTTCGTACTTTTTTCAACGATATTTTCCTAAATTTGTTAAGATTAAGTCAATTTTTGATTACCATTCTATGGTAGTTATTAGAAACTAAATGTATAATGTTGTTAACTTGAAATAATAAATTCATGTATAAGCTTGTTTGAGTATATTAAAATTTTTTGATTTACATATATATTTTTTAGTATTCTAAAAAATTACACACGTCTATTAGGTTTCGTTTATTAATGAAGGAATTCATGATGCCAAAGAATTGCATATACTAACTAACATTCCATCCAGTATAATTTATGACAACATTAAAAACTGAGCATATAGAAGGATCACAAAAATTACCAGCAATTTTTCAGAGTTTTTGAACGATATGTTCAAAAAAATATATTAAATTTCAACGAGAACTTGACTGAAAAATTAAACCAAGTAAATCTTGAGATATCCCATATTACTATTTAAAAACTTATAAATATAAATATTTCTTCCAAAAATAACACAATACTTACAGATCTTAAACCAAAGGCCGAATGTGCAAAAAGCATTCAATAATAACTAGAAGATGATCTAAACAACCTTTTAATTAAGTCTATATAAGAGCAAATCAATTTTTGAAAACCAACTTATTATGAAATATTAAATTTCATATAAAGATACACAACTCATCTCATCCATTACAGTATATGCCAAAATATTACATAAATACAAGCTTATTTACTTTTGATAAATGAATCATAAATTATGAATGCTGAATTTTATATTGAAATTCTTCAAAAATATCTTCTAGCAAGTAATTAAAACTATTGGCGACCCAAGCATGCAAGTTATCTTATTAAAAAAAATTTTAATGATAATGTTTTAGAAGTTATGAACTGACCTTCAAACAGCCCTGACTTAAATCCTATTGAAAATCTTTAGGGAATTATTAAAGGAAATTTAAAGTGACGAATGCCTAAAAATCTTAACGAATTAGAGGGGGAGTGGAGAGTTTGCCAGATATCATTTTAATCAAATGACGTTGGGAACTTATTATTGAACGTAATGAAAATATATTATTTTAACTTATCCTTATGTATAAAATTTGGTTATTTTTAGTTATAATAATTTTTTTCGAAAAGGTTTTTTGTTAGAGACTGTATGTGTAATTTAAATGAACAAGTATCTTGATACAAGAAAGAATAATTAAAAATTCGGTACAAGAAAGTGAAAGTCAAGCTAAAAACAGTTCATAATAAATTCACATGATAAATTCTTGATATTAAAATGTTTTCACTATGGACCGATTATATCGAGGTGCATGTAATTTGCATAATTATGATGCGAACTTGTTATCATTATAGAAAAATATGATGAATATATAAAATATTTAATTGTAAAAAAATAAATCATTTGTTTATAAAAGTTTAAATAATAAAATTTTTATATTAATTAAAACATGATGAGATATTTTATAATCACCACTATTTTTCTATACCTTCTAAAAATATTGGATCTGGAGAAGATAGAATGCAACACAATCAAGAGGAAGAATAGACTGATTTTACTTGATGTTTTTTTGAAAAATTCTCTTGCAGACAATTTACAATCAAGTAGGTACTTTGATAAAGAAAGTGCAAGATTTTTGATCAGCAGTGATTTATGATTTCGTAAAATAAAGTTTGTTTTCATGGCAGCCTCACCATCAAAAAAGTTCTTATATGATTATATTTGTCTCTTGTGCAAGAGATAAGAGTTCTAAAGGCTTTCTTTAGTAGCTTTTATGAATTATAATAATAATTGGTTAAAAAGGGACATGAAATAAGTAAATATATATAGTTTTCACTCACTATTAATAATTACACAGTAACAAAAGTTTAGACTTATTGACATAATAAATAAATTAATAATCAAAAGCAAGAAACTAAGCAAATTCAATAGCTGGGCTTATTCAATACCAACAAACAAGTAATAAAACTCAATATAATTTATTTAAAGTAATATTCTTTCAGTATTGATTTATGTTAGTTACAAAAGAGATAAAAGCCGCTTGTATATAAGCTTTGAAGGTATAGGAATAGAAATATACCTATATATATTATGCATACATATATGCATATATATATATGTGCATTATATATATAGTTACTAATTGATATCATAAATACTTATATATAATTATACATATAGTTAAGTTTATAAATTATTATCAATTAAGATATTTGTACTCAATAAATAATAATAAACAAATATATTTATATTAATACAAAATATATATATAATAATAATTATAAATATCTACATCTTTATTATTAAAGTTCTATATGAAAATATTTAATCAAATTAATCATATTACTAGATTTTAACAATAATATGCAGAATATAAATATTATACAAATCCAAATATTAATGCAATAATTTAGTAAGTTATATCTGTATATATATTTAAATATCTCAATTAAAGTTAAATAATTATTTTTTGATATGAGCTTTGAAAATCCAGAAATTACTAATACAAATTCACTTATTGCCAATTCATTTGAAAATTAATTTATATAATACAAACAAAATTAAATCTTTTTAATAATATATTAGCATAAAAATATATTGATAATATTGATCTAATTACTTAATAGATTGTGAATATTGTACAAGAAGTATCTGAATAATATAATTAACATAATATATCTTAATAATTCAATTATTATATATGTAACTGATTAGCTTTTGCAAATATTTCATAATAAAAAAAGAAATCAGTTAAGTAGTAAGTATATTTTTAAATTAGTTTATATTTATAGTAATTATAAATTACAAACTCCTTCAGATAATTAAAAAAATTGCCAAAAAAAGTATTAATAATGAAATAAGTATCAATTAATATTATGTTAATAATAAAAGTGATAAAAATAAATATCAGAATAATAATGAAAGTAAATATCAGAATGATAAGAATAATAAATAATTTAATATATCAGATAATAATAATATTATTATTTCTATAGTGATATAAAATTTCTTAATTTCTTAATCTTTTCTTAATTATGCAAAATCATATTTTCTTATAATTATTATTTATTTTATAAATATCTGTATTTTCATATTATATATTACTATATTTATTATTATATTTCTATTTTTAAATATTATATTTTATTTATATTTAAGATCTATATTTTTATTATTACTTATAATATGATATTTATATATATAATAAAATAGTATAGTGAAAGATTATTTTTAATTTTGGTAGAATAGTTATACTTGAAATATTGATCATAAATATCTTTTCATATTCTTTAATATTCTTTGACATTTTCTCATATCCTTTTATATCTTTTCATATCTTTTAATATCTTTTCATATCTTTTAATATTCTTTCACATACTTTGATATTCTTCAATATTCTTTAATATCTTTCAATATATTTCAATATATATATTTCTAATTATTTATATTATAATACTTTAATTATAATATATATATTAGATAGTATTAAATAGTAATACTATAATAATTTTTTTATTTGAAAAATATATAAAAGAATCTGCTCTTCTAGCTTGAAATAAATATTTTTAAATTGAATTATTTGGAAAATATAATTAAAAAGCTTATTATCATAATAATAATAATTTTTTTACAAGATTTCTTTTCTAATTATAATAGTATTCTTTCTTTTACTCAGTTTTTTTTCTTTGACTATACAAAGTTGAGTTTGATTTTAAATTATAACATTATATTGATTTTTGATTTTTGATATTATTTTAAAAGTAAAAGATCTTTACTATAAATAAGTCATATTTTTTTATTTTTATTTAGTTATTTAGTTTATTATTTTAGTTTTTATCTTTTTTTAGTTATAATCTTCTTTAATTAATAGTAATTTTATTATTTAATTATTTTAAATCTTGAATTATATTAATTACTAGTAGCTTTACTTAGTCAATTTTTATAATTCTTTAATTTATTTCTTTCTTTTATTATTTACTTTACTCTTTTTAAGATAATACTCATAGATATTGGCACAGATCTTAGAAATCTTTATCATTATTAAAAGTTATAGTCTAATTTCTCTTTCTTTATTCTTTAATTATTTCAGTCTCTCTCAACCCTATATTATTAAGATAAATTCAAGTGAAAACTTATTTACCAATTTATTATAATATATTTTTGATATCCTTACTATGAAGAAAAATTTCTTTCATACCTCTTATTATATTCATATACTTTTTATATTCTTTTTATATTTCTTTTTTATATTTTTTTCTTTTATCATTCATAATTGATAAATATTTTGAGTCTTGAATTTTTATAATCAATTATTATTTCTTTATTAGATTACTAATTAATTATTATTTTGAGACACATCAAAATTATCCTGTTAGAATATCTTCACAATATTTTTTCTCTTATTATCATCTCCTTTAATCAGATTTTTCTTTATAATTTTGAATATTTTATTTATTTACAGAAAGTATTAAAATAATATCAGCAAATCAAATTACTTATTT